TCCGATTGACATTCTGAAGGAGAATGATTTTGACCACTCCATTAAGTTTTGTTTTTTATAAAGCCTTTCTTTAAAGTGAATTTCGTTTTTAATAAATTGTATCTTAATTTTAATCAATGTTTGATCAACCAATTTAAGAAATAATAAGCAAATATAGCAGATATATAGTCCTATAGCAATAAAATCATGAAGTTTTTGCATTGCACGTTTCTCACAGGCATGAGAAATAGGCTATATCTAGAAAGGTAGAAATGTCTAGCCTACTTTTAAACGAAACAATTAAAAACGAAAAGAAATGGGCTACTTTCAGATTATGTAATCCGTATGAAATGAGCATTTCTCTCGGCTGGTTCACTACTGCGAAGATGGCTCCAATATGGGCAAAAAGAGCGAATAAAATATAAGATAAGAAAACAAAAAGGGAAATAAGAGATGGATTGCACTGTATGTGCTCTCATCGGAGTGTCTGGTTCATGTAAGTTTGAGAGATCTTGTGGCTGGCGCGACGCTAAAAGGTGACGTGACGCGCGCTCCATATGGACAAAAAGAGCGAATAAAATATAAGATGACAAATAGATAAATAAGAACAGGATTCCACTGTCTGTTTGCACATGTGCATCAATCGGAGTGTCTGGTAGATGAAAACAGTGAGAGATCTTGTGGCTGGCGCGACGCTAATGGCTGGCGCGACGCTTAGTCAGAGCCACGAGACGCGCTCCAATACGGGCAAAAAGAGCGAATAAAATATAAGATAAGAAGACAAAAAGGGAAATAAGAGATGAAGTGCACTATATGTGCTCTCATCGGATTGTCTGGTTCATGTAAACAGTGAGAGATCTTGTGGCAGGCGCAACGCTAGGTTGTGGCTGGCGCGACGCTAATAGGTGACGTGACGCGAGCTCCATATGGACAAAAAGAGCGAATAAAATATAAGATAAGAAGATAAATAAGAACAGGATTGCACTGTCTGTTTGCACATGTGCATCAATCGGAGTGTCTGGTATGAAAACAGTGAGAGATCTTGTGGCTGGCGCAACGCTTAGAGCCACGAGACGCGCTCCAATACGGGCAAAAAGAGCGAAAGTGACTGGTCGAATGACAGGCGCGGTGACTGGTCCAGTGGCAGGCGCATGTAACGGTGACTGGTCCAGTGGCAGGCGCATGTAACGGTGACTGGTCCAGTGGCAGGCGCATATAACGGTGACAGGTCGAGTGGCAGCTTCCCCTGCCACGCAAAGATTTTACCCCCTCTCCATATATATGTATGGACTTTAAAGAGTTAGTTCACCCAAAAATGAAAATTTTGTCATCAATTACTCACCCTCATGTTGTTCCAACCCCGTAAGACTTCTATTTATCTTTGGAACACAAATGAAGATATTTTTGATGAAATCAGAGAGATTTCTGTCCTTCCATTGACAGACAGTGCAATTACCACTTTGACACTTCAAAAAGTTCATAAAGGGTTCATAAATCCATATGAACTGATTGGTTTAGTCCAAATTTTCTGAAGAGACACACACAATCGCTTTATATTATGAACAGATTTAATTTAGAAAAATATCTTCATTTGTGTTTCAAAGATGAACAAAAGTCTTATGGGTTTGGAATGACATAAGGGTGAAAAAATTATGACAACATTTTTGGGTAAACTAAACCTCTAAGGTTAAGCTCAAAATATTTTTTCTTTTTCTGGTTTCTATGAGAATTAAAGTTTTAATGTAGTTGGGTAGTTTGAAGCTGCCCATCCATCGAGTGACCACTAAAACTATAACATTTTGAATGAAAACAAATATACTTTCTAGTAGGCAGACGAGAAAGAACTGAAGAATCAGAAAAGGGGCTGGTCAACCAAGTAGCCCGTGGGCCAAATAAAGCCCTTTGGTTGATTTAAATAAGACAGAGCTGCCTGACACATGAGAGTGCTCTCTGTACAAAGCTGTGATGAAATCAAAAACACTCAGTGGCCAACAATTACCAGGCCATATTTGGAGCACATCTTATAGCCATAGTACAGCTACTCCCCAAGCACACATATTTGATCAAGTCTCACTCCAGTCTTACTTTTGACATTGAGCATTAAATTGTTGTAGTTTATTTGTTCATGTTGAGTACAGCGCTCGTAAAAAGAAATAGCGGGAAACGCCACAGAACCTGCATACATCCTATGTTTGGTTCTGCATATGGCTGCGAGTCATTTTCAAACTTGATCATTGTAGTGTTACAAATTTATTAAAATGTTTAATTTAGCTTCCAATACTATAGAATATAAACTGAGGAAGTTTATTAGTGTGAGTTTTGTAACTAAGGTAAATTATGTCACAAACCTGCCTGTTCCTGTCTGTCCTGATCTCTCTATTGTAAGTTAAATTGATCAGAGCACTGAGACTATCACCTTTTGTTTGTATGCACTGCCTGGCCTTTAAGCTCTATGATAATGTGAAGGTATGGGTGATACAATCAGGCCGATTGGATTACCATCTATACATGACACTGTTATGCTGATGAGATCAGGGCTGGGGAATTTCCAGTAAGGTTCCTAAACCTGTATACCTCATTTACATGCTTTGTTTCAGAGTGTCTCCACCTCTATGTAACCCCTCCCCAATTGAAAGGTATATCAACTACAATGTATATTCCTTAGTCAGACTTGGGTAAGATATTTGGACGAAGCAGATTTGAGAATACTACAGCGATGCAACAGCAATAAAGAACCCTGCTTAAAAGATACACCCGAGTCTCCTGGTCTTCGCTTCTGAGTTTCCTACACTTTAAAAGAAAAAAGTTCACAACACCATTATTAAATTATGTTTTCTTTATCCAGTTGTGTACTGTACATATGTACGTAAAAAAAAATATATAAATATATATATATATATATATATACACAGCCACACATATATATATACACAGCCACACACAACAAACACATGTACTTTGCAGTATTAGTATTAGTGTTTAGTTTTGTTTTTGATAATAACATGACTAGACTTGAAATGAAGGTACTATAATCTAATAATTACTTTGAAAAATGTTGTCTCTCCCCTAAAATTTCCATTTGGATAATCTGGCTCTCAAAGGAAAGTAATTGAAGAGCCCTGATCTCAGGGTTGAAAAATAAGTACACAGCAATAGCAGAAAGAGTGAGAGAGAAATCCTGGGTATGTGAAAAATTGTGTCTAAATGTGCATGAGTGTGTATGTGTGTGTGTGTGCGTGCGCTCTGTGCTGTGGGGCTTGTAAAGTTGTCTAAGAGCAGCTAGAAAAGGAGAATGCTTGAAGGAGGGAGAATGTGTGCTGGTGATTGCCATCAGTTTGGATATTTGCCCTGGAGCTCACAGTAACAGTCCTCCCCTCTCATCTTAGAACAAGGGCCAATCATACCTCATGGCTATTCAACTACCCTTTGCAACACAATATAATAGGAGTCCACAAAACAACCCCTATTACAGAACTTTAATCCCTAGAGTGATTATTGGATTGCTGGGTAAAGTAATTCTCTATTTAAAAACTAAGAAATTCAATATGATTAATTCACCCCCAGTGCACTTAACAATTAGTAAAAACTAGATAAAGTACTGATATAACAATAATTTATGCACATTATTCATCTTGCCAGTTGCCACAGAAAAATCTGTCAGATGACCATAATAACTGTTCCAACATTGACATGAACATGCGAGGAGAGGAGAGGAGAGGAGAGGAGAGGAGAGGAGAGGAGAGGAGAGGAGAGGAGAGGAGAGGAGAGGAGAGGAGAGGAGAGGAGAGGAGAGGAGAGGAGAGGGACAGAATTATTGGTGCTCTGTAAAGTGAAGTCATGATGCTGTTTTCTGTGTGAGCTGGAGAGGGTTTGGAGAGGGGCATTTCTGAACCTCGTATGACACACTGCAATTAGTGTGGGCTGAATATGCCTCTCTGTGTGGGAGAGAGAATGCTGGTATGCAAAAGCGAGAAACAGTTCTGTGGATATTTGCATTGTTTTGAATTGGTACAGGATATGTGGGGAGTGGGATCTGTGAAGTATGGGACGTCCGCCCTCATAAGCACTCAAACGATGGCTGATAAAAAATTGTAATGTTGGCCCTGAAAATAAGAACTGTGCTTGTTCTTTCCTGTCTACTAATTTACTATGCATTCAAAACATCTGTTTGGTTCTTCCGCGCCTCTGGAAGTTGTTGACTTAATGTATGAAAGATGTTCAGCGGCACATCCGATGCAGCTGGTAGCTGGCTTTAAGAAATATTTTTAAATAACCCTGTAATGAGGGCATACAGGTGTATCGAGATGCATATTTCAAGACTAAGGGTGTTTAGAAAGTTGCGTTGGAGTGTGTTGACAGTAGGTTTGGTATAAGAGGTAGGGCACATGGGACTTATTTTGAGAAATACAAAACCATAGATATTTGAAATCAAGTGAAGAAGCCAGGATGTGTGTTTGTTCTGAAAGGTTTTGTATGGTGAAAAAAATCCCAAGAATAATACGGTAGTTGAAACAATATTTCTGTAGCTAACACATTGCTGATGTCACTGCAGCTAAATATGGCTAATACTAAAGGGATAGTTTACTCAAAAATGACAATTGGTTCATCTGAAGTTGTTTAGTAGCCTACTCATTTCCAAGCGACAAGCTCTAAAAAAGTGCAAACACTCCCCCAAAAAGTAGTTCATACGACTTAAGTATTATATGGCATCTGAAGCCCTTTGTGCTAATTATACATATTTGGGGCGATATGAAAGTGAACAGATGACAGAATATTTTATTTTCAGTTGAACTACCCTTTTAAATGCAGAAGAGTCTAAGCTAATACAACTACTGTTAAAGAGCCCCGCTGAGAGCCCTCATAGCCAAAATAGCAGGGTGTGTGGGTGAATTAGCACTCGTCATTGACCTGACACATGACATTATTCAAACATTTTTGGGAAGTTTCATCCCTGACAAAGCCTTCAGTGAGTACCATCCTATCTAATATTAGAAAACATAAGCTTTGGAGGGCAAACGTACCTGCGAGGACCCTATTGACGGATGAGTGTGTTGCCAGGCCTGGCTGCCCTCGTTCATGGAAGATTCCAGCATACGGCAAAAACTCCGGCAAAAGGAACCGCCTGGGAGAGATGGAGTGAAACAGAGGCAGTGTGAGCGAGAATGACTGAACATGTGAAGCCAAGATTTGATAGTTTTGAGGCTGTATAAGACATTCATCAGCATTACATGCATATTTCACTGAGAAGACAAACCCATAATGCACTCTGACAAACTCAGTAAAACAATATATCCATTTTTCAGCCTTAGTTATCATAAAACACTTCTTTCATTAACTTTATAAAACCTTACTGACCCCCAAACATTTGAATGGTAGTGTATATTTATAATGTTTATTTATATTATTATTAAAGTATTGTGTAATTTCTCTCACATAACTACTGTAGTTTTAAAATCAATCAGTCAAGTCTCATGTGCAATTTGCCTGCAGAGTGCAGTGCTATTTGTATAGCACACAACACACTCTCAGATGGAAGGTGCCTGTGTAGGCAGTAGGCAGCTCACTAAGTTTTGGAAAAGAGTTAGAATGTGTTTCTGGTGCATTTGGCGTAAACAGGCTAAAAGTGTTCCTACCTGGGCACAAAGCGACCGAGGGAGGGGGCAGACATGCGTGCGTTACGAGGAGCCCTATGTCTGCTTCCATTATCCCTGTACACACACACACACACCTGGTCAGCAACAATAATAATTATCACTGAATCAATCATAACTTGCTTAATACAGGGTTCCCACAGCTTGGTTAACTTTAAATTCAAGAACCTTTCAAGGTCCAATACCCTCAAATTCAAGGACTTAATGTGGGGACACATTTCAAGTGAGAGCAAGGTTACATCGTGTTACCTTGTAAGATAGATTGTTACAGTTTTCATCTGTAAAACAACTATGCAAAAAAGCTCCTTTTTTTTGCATTTATTTTTGGTCATATGACAGAAATCTAATATTCTATATTATTATATTATTGTTGTATTTATGTTTTGCATAAAACTGAAGAATATTCAGGACATCCTATAAAAAAAAAATGATAATAATAAAATAAAAAATGTGTCAACGTCTTGGAACTGATTATTTCAACATGACAACTTGACAGCTCAACAATAAACCATGAGAAAACATGAAAACGAGTATGTGAACTTGCAACAGAACACATTGTTATTTTACATTTGATTTTATTGATTTCTACATAACTCTTCATTATATGTTGGTGTGCCTTAAGCAGTCATTCTGAACCAGTAATCATGTTTTTGACAATTCTGCAGGGATGGGATCATTTTTTCCATTTTTAATTTATTTACTACTTAAATTATCACTACATTATTATGTAATTATTTAAATAATTTAGCACTTAAATTTTTTTTTTTGAAATGCCATAAATTGTATATGACAGATAGGATCATAATTTATTATGCATATGGTTGATATTTATAAACGCTAAATTAGTAAATAACAATAATTATAATCTATGATTAATCTGTCTAATAACGTCGACAAATATAATAGTTACCTGTCTACCAAGCTCTGACAATGTATGGAATATTATATTAGGAGATTATCCAAATTTAAAAACAAAAACAAAAAAACAATAGGCCAATACCTTTAAAAGTAAGGATTTGTCTGTCACGGTATGCTGCTTTAAGTCAGAAATCCACCGCACCACGTGAGCAAAGGAAACTGTGCTGTTCGTCTTACGTTCATCATTAGTTACTGGACAGACCCATTGATACATTTTTTTTCAAATCTGGAGAGGACGTGAGCTCGACATGGTTTTAAAAAAACGTTCATTACGCCCGTTTACGGCGCATGTTCACTAGACTCCGTCGCAATGGAAATAAAGACGCTAACATGCAATCACCCGCAAATTAATGGGTCTATGTAAAATATACAGGACAAATCGCGTCCCATGACGCATCATTTTACCTTTAAATAAGGGACGATTCCGTATTTTACGGGACGGGTGGCAAGTGGCAACCCTACTGACAAGCCATTCTTTGGTGAGCCAATTATCTTGAAACTTGCATTTTCCTGGGCATCATGTTTCAGCGGTTTCAGTCTTATTTTTTCAATGTTTCACGGTGTGTCAATGAAATGTTGAGGTATCATTGTAGTCAACGTCATGGCAACGTACAACACAAAGTACCTCACGGGAAACACTTAACATAACGCATATGCGCGTAACTAACGTAAATCAAGCAAGGCCACGAAGTGTTAGTGAAATAAAACATTAGCGGACTGGAGAGAACAATAGGGATTTTTCTTGCACAAAATAAATTCAAGCACTTTCAAGGACCTGTATCTATGTGTTTATTTTCAAAGACTTTCCAGGGCCTTGAATTTTTTTTTCAGATTCACAAACTTTCAAGGATTTCAAGGACCCGTGGGAACTCACCCTCATGTCGTTTCAAACCCATAAGACATCTTCATCTTTGAAATACAAATTAAGATATTTTTGATGAAATCCAAGGTGTTTCTGAACTAGCCATAGGCAGCAACGTCATTGCAACTTTCATGGCCCAGAAAGGTAGTAAAGACATTGTTAAAATAGTCCATGTGACTACAGTGGTTCAACCTTAACCCTCTGGGGTCTAAGGTGTTTTTGGGGTCCTTGAGATGTTTTGACATGCCCTGACATTTGTACTTTTTTCAGTTGCAGTTTTCAATTTCAGTTTCAGTTCAATTAAAGATATTAATGGCACAGGTGAAATTACACTCTATTTAGCACAGACACATACACACACATATAAAAAAAAATATATATATATATATATATATATATATATACTGTATATATACACTCACCTAAAGGATTATTAGGAACACCTGTTCAATTTCTCATTAATGCAATTATCTAATCAACCAATCACATGGCAGTTGCTTCAATGCATTTAGGGGTGTGGTCCTGGTCAAGACAATCTCCTGAACTCCAAACTGAATGTCAGAATGGGAAAGAAAGGTGATTTAAGCAATTTTGAGCATGGCATGGTTGTTGGTGTCAGTCACAATCTGCTCAGTTACTGGGATTTTCACGCACAACCATTTCTAGGGTTTACAAAGAACGGTGTGAAAAGGGAAAAACATCCAGTATGCGGCAGTCCTGTGGGCGAAAATGCCTTGTTGATGCTAGAGGTCAGAGGAGAATGGGCCGACTGATTCAAGCTGATAGAAGAGCAACTTTGACTGAAATAACCACTTGTTACAACCGAGGTATGCAGCAAAGCATCTGTGAAGCCACAACACGCACAACCTTGAGGCGGATGGGCTACAACACCAGAAGACCCCACCGGGTACCACTCATCTCCACTACAAATAGGAAAAAGAGGCTACAATTTGCAAGAGCTCACCAAAATTGGACAGTTGAAGACTGGAAAAATGTTGCCTGGTATAATGAGTCTCGATTTCTGTTGAGACAATCAGTCTGTATGGTAGAGTCAGAATTTGGCGTAAACAGAATGTGAACATGGATCCATCATGCCTTGTTACCACTGTGCAGGCTGGTGGTGGTGGTGTAATGGTGTGGGGGATGTTTTCTTGGCACATTTTAGGCCCCTTAGTGCCAATTGGGCATCGTTTAAATGCCACGGCCTACCTGAGTATTGTTTCTGACCATGTCCATCCCTTTATGGCCACCATGTACCCATCCTCTATTGGCTACTTCAAACAGGATAATGCACCATGTCACAAGGCTCGAATCATTTCAAATTGGTTTATTGAACATGACAATGAGTTCACTGTACTAAAATGGCCCCCACAGTGACCAGATCTCAACCCAATAGAGCATCTTAATCTCCATCAACTGCAAGATGCTATCCTACCAATATGGGCCAACATTTCTAAAGAATGCTTTCAGCACCTTGTTGAATCAATGCCACGTAGAATTAAGGCAGTTCTGAAGGCGAAAGGGGGTCAAACACAGTATTAGTTAGTATGGTGTTCCTAATAATCCTTTAGGTGAGTGTGAATATATATAATCAAAATATTAATGAAGTCAAAAGCACATTTTTAGTCATACCTGGAAACAAATCCTGTTCAAATAGGTTATATGGGCCATTCTATACAATTGGTTCAAAGTTAGAGTTGGAAAAATCTTGAAAAGAAAATTGTACTATAACAGTTGATTAGTTTATTTTTGACAAAACATTTTTGACAAACACTATACTAAGTATAAAAACAAAAGCTTATTTGATGTGGCTGTAGTCTATTTTACAGTAAAAAGTTTATAACAAAAACTAGTCAACGGAATGTTGTCTTTCATAATTCGTCTGTAACATATCGTTGCGATCTCATGAAAGTGCGTATCTATAGCACAAATTTAATTTCTCATACCAAAAATAGATTTTGCGTGCATATGATACGCAGTTTACTACACGCACTCCACACACCTAATCCTACCCAAGGGGTTTACAGTGCCTATCATTTGCATGCAAAAACTATTTTTGGCGTAGGATGGTACGAGAAATTAAATTCGTGCTATAGATATGCACTTTCATGAGATCGTGTTGTTTTTATGATATATTAGGGCATATAAATGTTAATTTGCTGTTTAAGTTGCTTATATAAAGACATTTTATTTCAACATATTTCAGTCGATTTTTACTCATCTCAGTATAGCCATATAGTTTGGTAAAAGCTGTTCATTCATTCACACACAGAAAGCGATTCATATTTAAACAGTCTTTTTGCGGTTTACATAGGCTATTCCATATCGCGATTACAACAAAGCACTTAATAATAAAAAACTTACTACATCAGCTTGATCTGTCGCTCCTCGAAATGGTCCCAGGATTATTCCTTATAGCCTCCCAGTCGCAAGACGACGTAAAGTAGCCTACTGTAATCTGATTAAACTTGTTGTGTTTTATCGAGTTGATGTGTGGGCGTTGACACTTTTGCATGTATCGCCTCAGATCATTTGCGTTTGAATAGCGCACGCTCCCCGTGGGCGTGATCAAATTAAAAGATAATGAGCAGAAATGAGAACGACTGACATCTCTCTCTTTTCAAATAGATTACATAAACAGAGAATATTTGTTTTTGTTATGAATAAGACCATTTAAAAGTACACACTTAAATGATTATAAAGATATATAGCTCATGCCTGGGAGAATAGTATTCGATGAGTTTTGTTTAAGTTTAGAGACGTGCTCCAAAAAAAAAAGTTCATGTTGACGGAGAGCCAGAAAGCACACCCTGTTTATTTTCTTTCTTTTACAAAAGCACAATGTTTTGTTTCGATTATAAGTGGACACATAAAAAAGACGACATTCAACCGTTTATTTTTTCATATTTCTTAAGTCTGTATGACCGAAAATGACGGAGTATTTTAAGTCTATTTTGCTGCTATGTGAAAAAAATCGAGGAAAACGCGCCGGCGAACTAAAGCAACACCAAGGAACTTTTCCTCTGCGGTCGCCCTACAGGTTGGAAGTGGAATTGTCCATTACCGCTGTCGTAAATAATTTAGCCTACCGCAGCCTACTGTCACAAGCGCACGCTCGCTGTTTATCCCAACCTGCAAGAAGTCCCAACCTCCCAACCTGCAAGTAGTCATTTCAGGTAGGTATATCGTGGTGACTGGAATGTTGACGGGGGGGGGGCACTTTCGTGAGGCACACTCGCAAGGTCTCTCGCTCTCTCCCTCTCTGCCGTGCGCGCGC